CCTTAGGTTGCACACAAATATTCAAGTGTACATGAATGGTCCTGAATTTGACCAATTTATAATTTAAATGTTGTATCACACTATGATTTGTAGGATTTTTTCCCCATTACATAAATCCTAGTTTATGTAATTTGCATATATGATTAACATTAAATTCTATAGCATAATTTTCAGGAGTTTCTAGTGTTTGAGGAATTATTTAACCAGGCATGATTACTTAAATATTCTTCTGGTATGAAATTTTTACAGTTTTATCAAAATCTTTGATGAAAAAAAAAAGATGTCAATTTAACAGAAGTCATGTTACTGATGAATACTTTCTTGATTGATTTTATTTTCAAGGTGTTTTTTTATCCTGTGATGATTTTATTCCGTCCTTGAAAAGAGTGGGAAAGAGAAACCTTTGAGCAGTAAGAAACTTTACTCTGTATGTGATATACAGATGTCTAATTTCTTGTCACAGGCATTACATACCATAGACAGATAAAACTCCCAGAACTGACCAATACAATGGCTGAAAAAGATTGATACAATATCATCTGTTCTGTTTACGCTGTGTTTAACTCTGCGCACATGTAATTGATTACCTCTGCTGGTTTCTAAAACTGTCCGAATTGGTCAGATATTTCGTACTTTATGGTTTTGGACAGTTGGTGACAAGTAATGGCCCCTACTGACCATGTTTGACCATGTTCGAGTTTGTCATCCTGCCAGGGTCAACAAGACGTTTTGAAAGGTTGGCTGAGCATCATTATTCCCAGTACACCTCCTACTAAGTATGTAACATGAAGAGGGTCAGGAAGCACAGAGACATTTAACCCCGGTCTGTAATTCAGACACAGGTGATCCTTTGAAGTGTCCGTCATATTGTTATCATGGACATATAGAGTTTCCTTAACATCTTTATTAACTCCTTAAACCATTTCTAAGTCTTTTGATTTTACCATTGACAGCTAGTTGAAGCATTTCAATTAAAAAGAAATTTCTTGCAGGAAAATTTCAACATTTTCGCGTCTTTTTTCTCTTTTAATTAAAAAGAAAAACAAAAAAACTCTGAAAAAGTAACACTGAAATACAAAAGACTATTGGTATGTGTAATAAAATGAGACAACACAATGAAAGTTTGTAGAGATATTTTTCTTCATTTTTTTTTAAATTCTGATGTAAAGGTATTCTTTGTACAATGTAAAAGATAAAATTGGTCAGTTTAAGCCAACATAATTACTTGTTTCAAATTGACAATAATTAACGAGATAAAGATCGGCTATTGTGTTGTCATCCTTTTCTGTCGCCTGTGGTTCTGATCCGTATTATTCACCTGTAGAGGATTTTGTTGCATTTTCTGACTACACCGGTTAGCAGAGGTTTCATCTGCGTGTAGAGGAATCGTCTCCTTTCGACAGATCCAATTTCAGCTGTATACTACATTTGTTTTCATCTAGTTATTATCTCGTAAATCAGCCGTTCTGCTTCTGACATATGAATTCCACCAGTTGTCTTGAAATTTGATCTGGTAACTGTCAGTCATAGTGTTTAGTTTTGTCGTTTTCATCGAATGTAAAATTATCATTCGTCTCTCCATTGTGCAAATGTTAACAGCCGGAAAACATGTGACTGAATTCCACATTCTCATTGGTTCATAATTCAAAACAATGAATTAAATAAGTGTTCATTCATGATCGGGCCGATAATGTCAGTTTTGTTGATCATAAATAACCTATAGTGTATGTTAGTATAATGACTGAGTTAAATTGATGATATTTAGCAACTTCATCAGGAAATATGTAAAGTACCTTCATAAAATGGTATATTACTTGGAAGTGTTTTGACATCCATTAAGCCTGTCCCATCCTTGGATAATTTACGTATCAATTTGCATTGTTGGAGTTCCGATTGTAAATATTGCACCCATGAACAGTGACAATACACGTTTGTGTATATGTACCACATCACATTTTTGAGACGTCTATAGAACATGATAACTGACATTATTATATCGGCTGTTCCGGGATATAGAACACTTTTCAATTTTGAATTTTTAGCAGATTTTTAAATGATAAATCCTAGGTGTTAGAAAAAAGCTCTGCGTCATTGTTTTGCACTTAGAAACCTTGGTTTGTTAAGCATAATTAGAGAAATTTGATAAATGTAGATACAGTAAGATTTATCTGATCATGGAATATAATTGTCAGTAGAAGAGTTTATAAAAAGCACAGGTAAACGGATCACTAATTGCTGTGTTTTTATTCTTGCTTTAACTGCGTGATATATACTGCCCTGGACAGCGGGATGAATGAAAGGGTAATTTTGTACGTGGAATTTCATTGAGTGTTGTGGACAGAATCTACTCTCATTCATTGTGGCGAATTTGATGATCCATTTATACTTCCTTGTGGTCGTCATATTATGTTTATTATCTGATTTAGTCTTCATTAACCTCGTTATACAGGTATTTACTTAACTACATCAGACCAGTCCATTTTGATATACCTATTGTAGTCCCAGCCATGAGATGGGTGGTAGTAATTGATGCTGGTATACCTATCTGTCAGGTGACACTTTTAAAAAAATACCTGTGGCCATCTGTTGAACACTCTGGTATGTTTTATACCTTTCATTATTTCAACCCTGGGATGAATAAAACTTCATTTCAAGAAAAAAGTATATAATGATAACATTTCTTAAAATTGACTATATCCCACCAGGAAAATTGCCTTTTGTAAAATTTTGGATTACATGTTTATCAATATTTGGTGATGCTTTATTTGGGAGTTTTCTAAATTCTTGAGACCTGTCCACCTGTTCAATTAATGTATATTCTTTCTTTTAGAGAGAAATCTACCAAAGCACATTTATTTATACATCTTGTTTGAATTCAAAGTTTTACCATAATATCTATTGAGTCTGCATTGTTTCTGACTGGCTTAAATGGCGCATTTGATAGAGCAACTACGATAATTATGTAGCAGTCCATGCCCAGTAATAAGCCCATCCTGGTTAAGTCTATTGCATTTCATTAAATATTCATGTGCTTTTTCCACTTTTCCTGCAATTAGCCCACCCCATATATTTTGTCATGAACTTTTCCCATAGGCTTATTTCAGGATAAATTTTATTAAAATGAAAAAAACTTGTTGTAGTGATTCATTGCTTATTTCAAATATATCACCGTTAATATTCCATGTCATCATACATACAGCCTTACATCACATTACACATGTTTACACCTGGCTAAATAATTATCTTACCTGTAATACAGACTCGTTAATGTTTAAATCTGCATCAGCTGGTCAGTTTACCTGGAGCGATTTGTAAATCTCATTACGATGATAGATAGAGGCTTGTACATATCTTCTATTCTAACAGGTTTTTTTTCTGATTTGTTTATGTAAAGGATGACACATTGGACTCCTGAGGGGAAAAACATATTCAAACATAAACACAATGCACAGACGTTCTAAATGCAGTGTTGGTTATTAGTGAAACAAACAAAAAGTCTAGTTGATATTAGAGAGATAGATTGAGCTAGGTTTAAATTACTTTCTTCTTTTTTATTTCTTTTTAATTTTTTCCACTTCTTTTAGAAGTACTTTTCTTTTTTTTTTTAATTCTACTTAATTATCATGACAAGTAAAACATGAAGAGTCAGAGTGACATTTTTGACCTTCAAGAAATAACATTTATACGATATTGATATACTTTGAGTAGAAATCTGAAGAAACCTGAAACACAGTCCATTTGAGATGTATTGAATAGGACATGATATTGGAGCAGAAGTCAGGTCAGAATTTAAACCTATGTTGACAGGCTGTTGTTGGGGTCGAGTCAACAGACAATAGTGGGATGAACAGGTCCAGGAGATAGATCTATGTGTTGTGTTTGTGGCGGGAATAGCCCAATAAAGCAGGGACAAAGACTGTATCGATAATGTCCTCATCAGTTTCAATCCAATTAGACTATATAAACATCGGAGTAGTGTCCAACCCAGCACTGAAAGCGTGACATGTTATGATAAGGCGCGCTCCGGCTCCTGGTGTCCTGGCTAGCTGTTGTTCCACACCTCCTCCTTACACTGACCATTGTATGGCCACACTGGACATGACAAGTGAATACTGGTCACCAGTGGTCAGCCCTGCCTCAGGACCAGTGGTGTCAGACCACTGTTCATCCTTAACTGACCGTTAGGCCTGTGTGAATCTTTATTTGTATTAGTTCTTACACATATAGGTGGAAAACTATGACCTTGACCAGCTAATGTATTGTAAATACTTTATCGCTGGTGGCTAAATCATATATCAGTATTGTAATCGAGGCAAATGAATTTGAAGAGAAGTGTAGGTGTACAATATACCAGGTAATGATCGTGTTACTAATCTCATTTCTTAAATTCCTGGTTATGTAAGGAGAATTACGATTTAGAAGATAAAAATGACACATACTTCAAGTTATTTTCAGGAAATGTCACATTTATCATTGTGTCAGTAGTCAGTATGAAAGATCAACAAATGGGCAAAATAAATGTAAGCTTTAAAGAAAGCTTGTGGCAAAGATCTACACATAATGGTCCAGATGTCAGTCTAATGAGATAAAATCGTGGAAAAATTGACAATTAAAGTTTACATGCCTTAGAATTACGGGTATATTGGGGGAAAAAATCAATTCAAACATAATTTAGAACATCTCAAATTTTTGTAAAGATCACCTGTACAAATACAAAGTGATCTAGGCAGTTATACAAGTTATGATGTATGTCAGTGATGTGACCTTCCTTATATAGGAGAAAATACAAAGAATCATAAAAACCTTTGGGAGTAAATGCTTGGGTTTTACTCCTGTCACTAATGGTTAGATATGTCCTACTGAATTAGAAACTGTCTTGAAAATAATTGCCTCTTGCTCATGTTTTTGGTATTTGTGTTAAAAAAATATCATTATTTATGGCTGTTGTTTGAGAAGAAATTATAGACAAATACATTCTGGTTTTTCATGAATATTTGCAGAGTCTTGCTCGAGAAATTATCCTGACCTTGGGAGAAGCCTTCGAGGTTGCTTACCAAATGGCATTGAAGGAAAAGGCACAAGCAGGTGCACTGGAGTTTGATCGACAGATGAGCCAGAGTGATGTTGAGCCTGATTCTATCAGCATCTCATCCAAGGCTTCCATTAGCACTGTCTGAAAAAAAGGGAGGTAAGTCATGTAGAAACTATAAGTCTATCCCCACAATTTACTGAATTACACTGCAATAAAACCAGGCTCAAAGTCAGACTTTTTACATGACATTGAGAAAAAATTTTGTAATTTGATTTAACATCAACAAATATGGATGGGCTTATCATCAGACTTGGCTTATGGACAGATGAAATAAACATTTCTTAAAAACATTTTGAAGTTTGGGAATTGAAAATTTATGCAACTAGAATTAGATAGACACATGAGCAGTTGTGATTATTGTAATCATATCTGATGTAAGAGACAGGATGAAAAATGGCTGTCATGGTATACAGTACTGTATTTCTGTGTTGTTGAGGGAGAAATTGGTTGGTATTAGTGATATATCATGCTGATGTGATCAAGTTTGTAAACTATTAACAGATGTACAAAAATTGGATCATTTGTGCATTGTACACATCATGTGACTATTTCTGGTACACTGATGATCCAATGCTGTGTGACTTGAGCACTAATTTGTACAGACACATTTGGACAAGGATATATACATGAATAATAATTAATATTGATAAAGGTTATTAATCAATATTTCCAAAATTACAAGATGATATTAAGAATAGGCAATAAGATTTGGCCCTATCTTCAACAAAATTATCATGTAATATTCTTAATGCAAAAATGTAAGTCTGACTTTAAGTTGTTTTTACATGGTTGGAGTGCTCTCCCTTGGATCAATACTACACTATACAGTGTTCATGGAACTACAAACATATGTCCATATAGAGAAACACTTCTTTCTGACGTGATCAGGAAAGACAATATAGACAAGCTGAGTAGAAATGCTGTCAGATCCCATTAAAACAAGTTATCAATTTTATGTGTGTGTCCTTGAGAGGCGGGCTATTATTCTGTAGGGGCACACCCTCCTCTACAACTACACAGACCATGTGACTTGGAGCAGGGTCGCCATGCTCCGTGACTTTGGCCATAAAATCACTGTACATTACATAAACAGACCATAATTTTAGGGCAGGTTGCGATAGGTGGGGAGGGTAGTTATTAGGTTCAAAATAGGTAAAAGATTAGAAAGATTTATGTTATATAAGATTCTTAGTTGATACATTAATAAGGCACAATTTTAGGATATTGTGGGCAACCTTTATAGTTTCGATTATAATTTACGTCCTAAAACAGATATACTGGGTGTTTTCATTTTTCGAAACTGGCTGTTACAGATTAAAATCATGATGGGAGAACTCGCTGATGATGTAAAACAGATATGCAATAAAAATTTTAACCCAACAGGCAAATATTTTCATTTTCCTGACTGAAAATTAATAGCTTGGAAATTTTAACGCATACTGAGAATGTTAAATACGTATCGATATGCGATGTCACTTTAAAGGCGGTTAAATGTCTTTCACCGATTTTCTGTCCTTTGTTCGTGCGCAGTGACCTCCTGCAATCGATCCGTTCTATATCTCGCTGAAGGCTGTTTTGACGTGTAAAATATATGTTGCACAACAAAAGGCCATGTTCAGCGTTGGCTAGGCTTTATCTAGAAAATTAGTGTGGCCATGAACCAGAGCCAAGCGAGGTATGTCAAAAAGTTGCACCATCCAGCAAGCACCTGTCAATCAAAAAACACTATGCAAAATGTTCATAGTAGGAGGGGCTTTGCTATGACTAATAATATTCATTTTTTTTTTGTTTTTTTTCGCAATTGGGTTCTTGCATGATCAATAAGTCTTCCACATAAGTCCTGTATGTGTTTAAAGAGTCGTCAAAACCATGTCCGGGCTTTTTTGACATAATGCGGGGGGCGGTGCTTATGACATTTCACATTGCTTTATTTGCCCATGTTTTGTAAATGTGTCAACCCCGAAATAATCGATTTAAGAATTGCTTGCTTTTTGTGCAGAAACCATAATAACACCTTTGTTAGGCAATTGTACTAGCATATGGATCAAGTGTAGCCCTGTACCCTGGGCAGTCAGGCAAATATATAATCGCGCCTTGTAATCGTAAAACGGGTAACCCAACTTTTTTATTCGGATAATGGTGAACGTTGTTATTTCACTTTACAACTCTATCGCATCCTGAAAACACAACAGGGCGAACAATAAATATGATATAATGTGAACGGTACTTGGTACTTTGTATATGCGATGTATGAAGAGAATCTGAAATGTTGATTTTCCATAAGACGATAGAATTTCATGCGATGTATTTTTAGAATGTCTATTCAATCCTCATGTAGATCAGGTTGATATGTTAAACGTCCATTGGGAGTGTGCCATTGTATGTATGGAACTATGTCATTAATATTGGAATTGTGTAAAGATAGGGACGGAAAACATCCACACTAACATTTCAATAAATATGTCACTGAACATTGATGTTACAGGACAAAAAAAGAGGTTGGAAATATTGCAGGAATTAAAATGAATCAACTTTGTCTAAAGTATTAACAGGCTTGTTTGATAATAAATTAAACCAGGCAATCAGCAGCTTAGGAAAAAGACAACACAGGCATCTGTTGTGTTAGTCTTTTAGAAATATCTCCCTGTCCATAACTCACCTAGCAATGGCCTAAAAATTGCTATGTAAGCTTGTTATAGATAGCAGATTTGATACAGGATTGCCAACAGAAATTGACACTTACATATTCAGAGGCAATGTTAGCCACTTACCAACAGCTACTTAGAGACCTTAATGCATTAGCTAGTTTGATACAGGTTTGCCATCAGAAATTGCCATTTATTTATTTAATGGCTATGTTAGCCACTTAAGAGACTCTTTGTTTGAGTTAGCTGCTTAGAGTAGCCACCCAGAAATGAGCTTTTCACATTTGGTACACAAACATGGCACATGCGAAATGGATTGTGGTTCAAATTATTATCATTCATCTTAAATTGTCTAAGCTTTGATAGATATTCTGACTGCCGAGAAGCATCTTAAATATCATGGTTACATGCTGGATTGGCCGTGACAACACACCTTCTCTCAAACACTAAGATATTGCCAACGACAGCCAACATTCTTCGGAACAATGACATGAAAGACCTTTTGTGTAATTTTCATCTAAGAGAGGATATATTTTGAGGAGTAATGAATTTTCAGTCATAGAATGAGAAATTTAGGACAATAAATGTAGGATTAATCAGTTTTTGAGCTTTATGTATGTGATGGGTATTTGCTGTCTTTTATGAAAGTAATGACACGGGGAAAATTATCAATTTTTTCACATTTCAATTTGGAAGAAAAAGACATTAACCAAATATCACCCAAATCCTTAAGAATTAAGATGCGTCCGAGACAACCCGGAGGTTTAAGCGGGCATCGGTAATGGTCGCTTTTATGTATTATGTCATTGGGAACAGAGCTTGTGTCATTTTTGTGTTAATCCGAGTATTTCCGGGGTGAAAAGTGTCAGTCTGTCCCAGGGGATTACAATGTCTTGTTCGGGAGCTAGCTGGCCACATCATACTGTTTATAAATTTGTGCAGAATTGACTGCAGTGTATGGGATTATGTTTACTATACCACACTAACATGTGGAGAACAAAGAGGCCATTGTTTGGACGGAGGTTCGGGACATAGGGGTAAATAGGGGTAGAGATATCGCCGTGGCAATACTGGTCTTAAGATCATTTCTTTTTACCTTGTGACAAATTTAGCTGTCGATATTTCTTTCTCCGAGTTGTGGATTTAGACAGATGTGTGTTTGAATCGTTGGTATTTGAACGGTTTGATAATGATATTTAATGCACTGATGTCACATGGTAGACACTCTGGCAACGGCAGTCATAGAAATCTGGAATCCTTGGACTTGCCCAGACCCTTCAACCCGTCAAACGTCGCTTTAAATCATGGTCTGATGGAGAGGGAAGAGTATATGGCAGTGTCAATGTTGTAACTTGTGCTGGGAGCTATTGCTACCATTTGTTACGGGAAGAGCAATGGCAATATTAGCATATCTGACATTGTATAGAAACACTTCTGTGGTCACCATTACTGATCACAGCTATTCTGATTGATGAAGTGAAATTTATCTCGACTTTATCGGCCACGTAAACAGCAATATCCCTATTGTTGAAAACTCAGTTTAGTGTAGTAGTAGAAAGGGTCCTACAGGGTCACATGAATTTTCACGGTCAGTTACTCTCTAGAAATAAGTACAAGCTAAATTGGTGTGGAGTTGTATTATTATGTAGGCAACCTGCCATATTGGTAATGGAGTGATCTTTACATAATGTGGCGATAATGTTTTGGCTCAAGTTTGTCTTTCACAATACAAGATAGATGGCGATGGGGGCCTTTCTGGACTCGGCTGAGATTTAATGCTTTGTTACAATCGTGTACCTTTCACGTGCTTTGTGATATGGAAGCTAGTCGACTTTCTTCCATAGCCCATACAGCTTATGCTATTTCGTGTCATTGCCATGAAAAGAACATGGCTTAATGTTTTCAACACTTTGGAAAAGAATGTTTTAAGAGCATGTGTTTCTATGTATAAAAGTGTTTCCCATGGGACCAGAAACACATTTTAAGCTATAGAAAACTACTACAGGGTCATGCAAATTTAGGCCAGACGTCTTTAGCCAGTATGTGTCCAGTATTTCAGTTTTCTATAAGAGTGCTCTCTCTGGTAATGTCTACTTGATAGCTGGGGTCATATTGAAATATGCTGCAGAAATTTGCATACTGAATGGACTGAACTTGACTGGTGTACTTATATAGAAATACAAAAGTAAAGCAGAATTGTACACATTATCAAATTAACTGTAAGCATGAGAGAACAAAGTTGACAGAATAAAATATCTGGACATGATTTTAATCTTTATGCGGTACTTAATTGGGGAATTTCAACAAATGAAAAATTCCACTTCTGGACATTATTATCCATACTGAAATAAAGAAAAAGAAATATGAAGAAAAAAAACACTTTTCCCCTACGATTTTACACAACTTAAAATTCCACGCATTTTACTGTTTATTTACTTATTATTTTTTCTGGCATTTTTGTTTTTGTTGTAACACCATCAGAGGTTTTAAAGCACCTTACAGATGATGTGTGTGGATTTGTGTGGAAATGACTTGTTGATTGATTGATTGATTTGTACATTGATTGATTAATTGATACATCTTAGCATGGAGAACATCCTTTGATATCAGTGGCCTGTAAGTAATATTTGTTTCTTTCTTTTGTTTTTCAGTAGGCGTTGATGTGGGAGGTGCCACATGATTGAAACCCTAAAATGGTTGACGCAATGATGCCCACAGGTGGCCTGCACTGTCACCAGGATTGGTCACCAAGTATGCTGGAATCTGCTGACCATTGTCCTCATATGATGACCACTAAGCATTCATTTGTAGGTGGTGACCACACACTGTGATGACCAATTTTGCATCCACCATGGGTATCGACTGAAGTTGGACTAGTCATGTATTATTACAGAATATTGATAAAACTGACCCTGGTTGGACTTATATAGTGTCAAGCTGTCAGGAAGATTTACTTGGGTTGTCCTCTTACTATTATGGACAGTAGTCATAAGTCCAGTGATAGGGAAATGTTGGGTGAAACTAGAGGATCCTGATTTGATGATATAAAAGACAACTTGTGCTAGAACATTATACATACTATTACCATCACGTGATATTTGCTTAAAATGATTCCATGTTGATTTCCTTCCTGTAACTTGATTAAGTATGCTAGTTTGATCAAGTAAACAGCTTGTGCCATAGAACAGTAGTTGCAGTCATGTTTCTAAAAGTCAGATAGCACTGGTTTGGACATGAACTGGTCAGTATATGACCAGACATATAATGACCACCTCTTGTGTTTATTTACTGGTAAGATTTTAGCTGTTCACTTCCTATCGGAACAAAAGATGAACCAATGAAGGATTGTAACACAAGTATATGGTGCCAAGAATGAAACAGAAAATGTTTTTAAAACTTGTATGGTGGAAAATGAAAGTAGATCCTAGAAAATGGGATATCCATTTCCTGAAAGATGACAAGCCTCCACATTCGTGTCCAGATACTTTGGAAGGTGAAAGTTTGGTGCAAATCAAACGAGGGCCTGATTTCATGATTCATTACTGATTGTAGGATATCGTCATGGAACATGGTCAAAATATGTCCCTAGAAAAAGTGAAACTCAGAACAGAAACTGAAAGTTGGAGATTCAATTGCTGGAATATGGGAAATTTGGAAATGAAAATGGAAAGAATGTCTGTAACTGGCTATAACACATATTGGTTTCATTAAACTGAAAGAATGCCAAGTCTTTGACTGTTGCTAAGTGGTCAGAGGTGTTTTGTTGACTGTAACTTGGTGTGTAGTTTCTTGGTAGGATCTCCAGTGCTAGACATATGATAGTAACTAACTGATAGTCATGAATGACTGATCACATAATGATTCAAAGATATTAAATGTCAAGGTCACACATATTCCAGAAAATGACATTTGAAGGTCAAACCTACTTACTGAGAGAAAGTGTGGTACAAATGAGAAACTATACAGTTTATTTGATAGGTGAAGTTAAAAAAGTTCACTTAAAAAGTCACACAATTTTGTTACTTAAATAGGTTCTGTCATGTATTTTAACTTTGAAAAATGCAGTCCCATTGACCTTCAAAGAAAGGAGATCTTGGTGGGTAGATACATTATTCCTGAGTGGTGAATGCAAACTGCTGTGTCAATATTACAATGTGAATACAAAGGTAATGGCTGTTTGGACCATTTTGTCATATCATGAATTCCTTCATCTTTATAGCATATCAAAGCAAAATGACTTAACCCTTGATCATTAACGTCATATCAATATGGTTTTATTGAAAGTCTGCTGAAACAACTAACCTGCTGCTTAGAAAGTTTGTTTCTATTGTAAAATATCATCAATGCATATTTGTTTGCAAGTCTTCCCAGGATAAAGGTCATCAAAGGTCATGGGTCAGTTCTGTGACCAGGCTTTTCTGGGGGTCAATTTATATCCCAGTATCCAATGATGTGAAAGTACCAGGGTAGTGTTGTTGTTAATGAATGATCAGGTTTCCTTATGTTACAGCATAAAGGCACTGTAGTAAAAACAAAAATTTGTAATTCCGAGGAACAAAGGAATATGGTAGAATACTTACAGGATAACACAAATTAAAATTCAACATTCGAAAAAAAAACTTTTATTCTAATACTTTTGAGATACAAGAAAAATCCCCATTGATTGTAGCTCCAATAAAAGAGGGGCACAATAATTTATATAAAAATCTTGGTAGTTTACTTATAGAATAAATGAAAGTATTTTGTCTTAGCATGGTTCGGTAAAATATTTTTCAAAAAGCAATGTGAATTAAATACCATATTTCTTGCCAAATAGACAACAGTCAGGAAATATACATTAAGAATGCTGCAAGGAATATAGGTTTGGTTTGAATTTTAAAAAATCAACATTTTGTTTGTTTGAGTAATGTATCTTTATCCGTCATTCTCAATAAAGGTAGATGTTTCGTGTGTATTAGATTTATTTCTGTCAATAGAAGGTTTAGATCCCTCACCTTTAAGTCTTTATTTGAAATATGATTTTAAATGTTATGTATTTCCCGACATCTTCATTAAGTCACATTGGTTGAGTTATGACTGTGGATGTTTCATCGTCTTTAGGTAATTTTACCAGAAAATGCTCACCTTAATATGCCTGTATTGATCAAATCTATAAATTTTGATTTTCAATTTGTAAATAAAATGAAATCAAATATTCGAAGAAAAATTGTGTTACAAAAATTATGTTCATAATTGCCAAAGAAAATGAAAATGGATGTTTTCTGAAATTAAGCAATAGTAAAGATAGAAACAAGAATGGTCAAAGATTGACAAGTTTTCTCAGAAATGTTGATGCACGTCTTGAAAAATTGCCATCTACTTAAACATCCCATCACATAGATTCTATAAATGGTATATCATTGTATCGTTTGTTATTGTAATGAGTTTGTATCACGCTTCAGATTTATTATGTCGCAGCTTAGAGATTAATACCTGGAAGGAATTTCTCACTTTCGTTCTTTACCTTGCACATTTTCTCTTCAGTTTAAACAAATTGTAAATAGGAATTAGTGTAATGTATATATGATAATTACGATCCATTTTGACAGCAATTCTGTGAACAAAATTCTAATACAGTCATGTAGATAGGTCACTGTAAATATAAACTGTATATAAATATATATAGATTTATAAAAAAAAATGTTGTAAAATATGTACACAATTTACACAAATTTTGCTTTAATTGTAAAATTTTAACAGGGTGAACAAGTACGATCAGTCTGGCTTCCTCCTCAGACAGTATTCTTGTGATATAAGATTTTCCTTTTACACTCAACCCGGCACCCATAACCTCACCATCCCATTTACTAAGTCCCACATCCCTAGAAAACTGAAACAATACCAGCAACTCTCCTCTTTATTAACAATAAGCTAGGTTTAACCAAAACATTTAATACCTTGAAATATTCAATTTTGAAGGATCTCTTAATGACATTGGCAATTTGTTTTTTATTTACCTGCGATTTGCCCATTAATTTCTTATATTGTGAAAATGTTTTGATGACTTGATATAGTTAAAATTTAATGAATATAGACATTGGTATTATTTGTATTTTAACATTATAAATACTCTTCATATGGCAATATTTTCCAGCAGTCATTGGTATCAGCAATATATTTGTTCACATTGTTTTTTCAATATTTTTTAATTTAATTCCAATCAACAGAACAACTATTACATGGATTCTATTTAACAAGAAAAAAGAAAAAGCACTATAGTCAATGATTTTCAAGTAGTAATTTTTAAAAATTTTAATTGGCAGAATAATTTAATTGATGGAGAAGTAGGAATCTTTTCTAAAAATGTATTTCCTATATGTTTTAAACAATGCTTTTCTGGAGAAGATAATTTTATTTCGGCGAGGAATAAAATTAATTTTATTCTTTGTTAGATAAGTAGCGTAACAGTTAACAAAGAGTATAGTATAATTGTTTTCATATTCTTAGCTATATCTTCATTGTTACATAAACAAGTACATTTTTCAGCAATGCACCTTTCAGAAATTGTGCTGTTTTACTTTGATAGTCCCCTGAAAGGTTGACAAGCTCTGAGCAGTTCACTAAGATTAACTGCCCATGTATATTGTTCTGTCTGACTGCAACAAATTTTTATGCTTTGTGTTTGTACCATTTTCATATGTTCTTTTTTTCATGTGTTCATGATTGGTGCTTTATGTGTTTAACTTTTTACGGTAGTAAAAGTCAGTTTTGAACATTTTAAGCTATGCTTTATTTGCAAACATTCCGTACAGAATTAATTTTTTTGCCATGAATTAGATAATCATTTTATATATACTTAAGATATATATCGTTTACATACAGACATAGAATAATGCTGATGAAGTGTTTACTGTCTTTTTTCCTATTTTCCTTTTTTCGCTGGGATTTCTTTTCTAGAGAGACCTCATTTAACTATTTCTCAAGTCATTTCTTCTCAGATTAAACCAAAGCATTAGCACACCTGTTTTATTTTTATCACGTTGTTTTAATCATCTTCCTTTTTCTTAAATATACTCTGCAGCTTTACTGTATGATTATCAGAAACTCTAAATACCAATAATTCTCTTAAATATTTTTTTTAAACTTAGAATGGAAAAGTCTTCACTTATCAAGTGTTTGTCATTTACAAAATGTTTGACAAATCTATATAATTCTGATAATCGTATTTATGAAAATGAAATACTTCTTTAACAATGGTGAAATTTTGAATTATAGGAAATAGATTCTGAGAATCGATTTATTGAAATTTTTTGGAACTTTAAATAAAGAAGATTGTATTTAATAAATGTATTTAAATTCTGTCTGATTAGTTTTACGAAAGACCATTTGTCTTCAGTTTTTAATCGATAGATTGACCAAAGTCTTCTCTTAATTAATTGTTCATACATGTAGCCCTGATACTGTTGAACAAGAGCTACATATAATTTACCTCTATCCTTTGTAAATGTTAATGATATGCAATAAAATTTAACAGGTGTTAACTCAATTTTGAAGTGTTTTTGTTTTTATTTCCACCGAGTCTGTTGTTTATAAACATGGTTTATCTGTGTTCATGCTAGAAAATGTTGTTTATGGCATTGAATTTGCTTCGCTATAAATTGACCGGATATATTACAAAACATAATTTTAATAAAGTAGACTTTTCTCTTTTGCATTAAGTGGCTCAATTTCTTTCAATTCTTCCTTCTATGAAATGTTGTGGGGAAGATGTTTAACACAAAACGTACGTATAAACACTACAGGTGACATGAAATTGATACATATTTTGTTTGTCAATACCAAGATTTAAAAATAATGTTACTTCCTTGTTCTCTAAATTAAGAAAAAATGAAACATTATTCCTGGCAGCCTATCAACCAGACTAAAATACATCACTGATTATTTAATGAATATGTGTTTAATTTCTAGAAAACGTTACGTAAATATAAAAATTATTATCTATTTATCAGTACTTAGTGATTATGTGGTTAACTTGTAGAAAACTTTTC